CTGCACGTCGCCGCTCAGCGTGACTACGAGCTCCACTCGCTTGACTTCAGCACTGCTTTCCTGCAGGGCTGCCTGCACGAGGAGATCTGGCTGCGCCGTCCACCTGGCTTCACTGGGTCGTTCCCTCCTGATACCCAGTGGAGCCTCCGACGACCAGTCTACAGTCTCCGCTAGGCGCCTCGTGAGTGGCACGACACGGTGAGGACTACGCTTGCAGCTCTTGGGTTCGCGCCTTCTACTGCTGACCCGTCGCTGTTTCTACGCACTGACACCTCACTGCCGCCGTTCTACGTCCTTGTGTACGTCGACGACTTGGTCTTTGCTACTGCTGACACTGTGGCACTCGCCCACGTGAAGTCGGAGCTGCAGAAGAGACACACGTGCACAGACCTGGGTGAACTGACAAGCTATCTTGGCTTGCGGATCACCCGGGACAGAGCACGCCGCACCATCACCTTGACTCAGTCACACATGGTGCAGCAGGTCCTTCAGCGCTTCGGCTTCACGTACTCCTCGCCTCAGCCCACTCCTCTGCCTACCGGTCGCTCGCTCTCAGCTCTGCCTTCGGATGAGTCCGTAGAGTCGAGTGGCCCGTATCCAGAGCTTGTGGGTTGCCTCATGTACCTGATGACCTGCACTCGACTAGACCTTGCATACCCTCTCAGCATTCTTGCACGCTATGTTGCTCCCGGACGTCACCGGAAGGAGCACATGGATGCAGCTAAGAGGGTGTTGCGCTACTTGTGCAGTACGTCGGGCATGGGGCTAGTGCTTGGAGGGCGAGTCCCAGTTGTTCTCACTAGGCACTCAGACGCTTCTTGGGCAGACGACCAGGCTACTCAGCGGTCGTCTCAGGGTTACTCCTTCAGTCTTGGCTCTGGTTCTGTTTCTTGGCGTTCTACTCGCTCTTCTTCTGTTCTCAGCTCCAGTTGTGAGGCTGAGATCTACGCCACAGCCATGGCGGCCCAAGAGCTACGCTGGCTCACCTACTTGCTGACCGACCTTGGAGAGCAGCCTCGTTCTCCTCCAGTGCTGTACGTCGACAACAAGGCAGCCATTGCCTTGTGTGAGGAGCACAGACTGGAGCACAGAACGAAGCACATTGCTCTGCGTTACTTCCTTGCTCGAGAGCTGCAGCAGCGTTGTCAGCTTCGCTTGCGTTACGTGGCCTCTGAGGCCAACACTGCTGATGTGTTCACCAAGGCGCTTCAGCCTTGTGACCATCAGCGCTTTTGCACTCTTCTAGGCCTTGTGCCTACTGGACCTCACTTGCTTACTTCTTGAGTCTGTTTGTACTGTGATCTCTAAATCTATACCTGCATGTTTACTCTTGTTAGGTTGTGATCATTGTACCTTTTGCTCTATTATAAACCTGCATGTGAACTGGTCTTGTGACCACTTGCTTGTGCTCGGAATTCGTGTGGTATCCTTGAGATCCACCCTGAGCTTGTTTTGCCTTGCTTTGCCTTGACTGGTCTTGTGACCCCTAGTTCTCCCCCACTTTGCCTATGGGGGTGTGTCAAACATTGTATATGTTGTGTTAGTTTAGGCTACAGTGGGTTATCCTATAGGGGGTACACAATTCTAGGGTTAGGTACTTGTACTCATTCACTGCTAATTCATTCATTCCTGTTCAGTGATTCCAACAGGGCGTTTGTTCGCTACTTGTCTGCAGACAAGCTGTCCCCTCGTGCTACTCCTTGCGTCTTCCTTGGCTTCCCCCTTGACGTGCCTGGGTGGCAGTTCTACCACCCCACCTCTCGTCGTGTTCTGTCCTCCCAGGACGTCACGTTTGACGAGTCGGTCCCCTACTACCGCCTCTTCCCCTACCGCACTCCGTCCCTCCCCCCGCCACCGCTCTTCCTTGTGCCAGGTCCCCCCCCGGTAGACCCCCTCCCCCCTCAGGGTCTTGCCCCTTCAGGTGTGTCCCAGGTAGACGCAGTCGAGCCTGTCAAAATTACTGGTGACTCTGGTGCTGCTGAGGGTGCTGAGCTTGAGGGTGCTGACTCTGGGGGTGCTGAGCGTGTGGGTGCTACGCCTGGGGGTGCTGAGCCTGAGGGTACTACTACTGGGGGTGCTGAGCCTGGGGGTGCTGAGCCTGGGGTACGACGCCTGGGGGTGCTGAGCCTGGGGGTGCTACGACTGGGGGTGCTGAGCGTGGGGGTGCTACGCCTGGAGGTGCTGAGCCTAAGGGTGCGGAGCTTGAGGGAGCTGGGCCTGCTCGTGTCGCGTCTGGCGGTACTGTGCCTGGCGGTTCTCCGGGTGCTTCGTCTTGGCGGGAGCCACTCTCTCCACAGGAGCTGCGCGAGTGGTTTGCCCGGCGCTGGAGGCGTGCTGCAGGAGCTGGAGGTTCTTCGGCTACTGAGGGTGCTGGTGTCGCGGGTCTCGGAGATGCTCGTCCTGGGAGTACTAGAGCTGCTGGGCCTGCGGGTCTGACTGGAGCTGGAGCTGCTGAGGGTGTTGGCGCTGAGGCTACTGCTGTCGGTCCTGGAGGCGGTCCTGCTGGGGGTTCTACTGGTGCTGCTGGAGGTCCTAGAGCTACTAGAGCTACTGGGGGTGCTGGAGCTGGAGGTACTGCTGGCACTGGTGCTACCACTGGGGGTACTGGTGCTGTCCCTACTGTGTCTGGAGTCGCCGCACGGCCTCGGCCGTACTTCGTTCCGCTCCTTCAGCAGGTTCTTGGTCTTCCGCCTTCTACTGGTCCTCCTCCTCCCTTAGAGTGTCCACAGCCTGTCCCGTCACAGTTCCAGTTATAGCCGGCCTCCCCACTGCCTGCTCCTTCTCCCTACACTGGTCCTACTGGAGGTCTCGCTGAGCGTCGTGAGCCTGCGTCTCGCCCTGTGTCGCCTGTCCGTCCTGCTCGCACTAGTGGTCGTGGTTCGCGTCAGCGTCCTCCTCCGGTCCCTGGCACGCACCGGATGTCTCTACGTCCGTCCACTGCTCCTCTGCGTGCCCCTTTGCCTTCTCCTCCTGAGTCCTCTCTTTCTGCTCTTGCCGACCCGAAGTCGGACTCTCTTCGTGCTGCCAGTCCTACTGTCACGCGTCTCCTTGCTACTCTCATCACTGACATTTCCTTTGAGTCCACTGCTGCGTCTGCCCTAGTTGCTGAGCTCGTCGACTTTGCTGCTCGCTGTCGTCTAGACTACGCTGCTAGTCTTGTCGCTGAGTCTGAGTCTGTCTGTCCTCCGTCCGTCGGGAGTGAGTGGGCCCTTGGCACGGACGTCCTTGAGGACAGGCAGGAGGAGTTCCAGTGTTTGGCTGCTGCTTCACCTCATCTCGTGTCCGTACTGCTTACCCCTGAGGGAGACCCGGATGCACTTGACATCCCGACTCCGCGCTCTTACGCGGAGGCAATAGAGGGTCCCTACTCCTCTCAGTGGCAGGCAGCTATGGACACAGAGATGGCTTCCTGGAAGTCCACAGGCACCTACGTTGACGAGGTTCCCCCGCCTGGGGCGAACATCGTCAGTGGCATGTGGATTTTTAGGGTGAAGCGGCCGCCGGGTTCTCCGCCTGTCTTCAAGGCAGGCCCCTGTTGACTACTCGGATTCATCAGAGTCAGTCCTGGAAGTGCTCGGATTCAGTCACGGCTCGAAGAAAAAATCGCCTGTAAAAATCCGAGTTTGGCTAACAAATACCTTGGATTTTCGGTCAAGAACGAGCATTTACCCTGATAGCCTGAGCCCTGGTCACTATGCACGCTTGTGCGCCGCTACAAGGCGGAGCTGGAGCTTTGAAATCTCTCAAAATATATGGATCTAAAATGTTAGAACCTAGTGTTGTTAAAGTAGATGGCCTAATCTAGTGGACTGGCAAGGAAATGGTACCAAGTGCATCTCTACAAACATAAGTAATGCGCTGGTCAGTTTGGTCGGTATGCGCGTCTGTAGTGCAGGTACCATGCACGATTGGGAATGCCTATATTTTTCGAATTACAAATATCCAAAAGGTTAGAACTTGGTAGGGGGGTGGGAAATAGTATAATTCCTTTTATATGTAATTTTTAATTCTGCTTAAAATCAAAGCTTTTTAAGATCAGCGTTTTTTTTATAAACGCTGAAGTGTCAGCGTTTTTTTCTTAGGTAACGCTGACTCTCAACGTTTTTTTCCGTACTAAGGCTGATGGATCAGCCTGGTCCAGAACGAATCTAGGGGCCTGCACGCGACACAATGATGTCGAGACAAAACATCGATTCCAGCGCATCACAATTGGCAATTACAATCGCGAAAGCGCATACAGGTCAATTCATTTTCCATGGGTTCGGTCGCCCTACGTGCGGTGAGAACTTGGTCGACAGGATTGAGTTAGGCGCGCGATCGGCTGCGTCGCGCTATTTTGCCCTATTTTAGATGTTTGGAGCTATCTATACCGCACCTTAGAGCATTCTGTTTTGCCACGCTGCTCGGGTCGGGAGGCGTTTCTTTCAGATCGACTTTTTTGCCTTAGGAATCCTGGACTGCGAGAAGCTGTAGAGGCGGGTGTAGCTGCCTGTCGCGCTTGTCACGACGCGCAGTGGCTAGTCTCAAGTAAAGCATCTAAAGCATTCCGATTCGAGCTTTGCCACGTGGCCGTCACGATGCGGTGCCACTACGAGGTGCTGAGCGTGGATCGCTCCGCATCGGCGGACGATATCAAATCCGCGTATCGCAAGCTCGCGTTACAGTGGCACCCCGATAAGAATCAGAACAATGTCGAGCACGCTACAGCGATGTTCAAGCAGATCCAAAGCGCGTACGAAGTGCTAAGCGATAAGCACGAGCGAGCGTGGTACGACAGCCATCGCGACTCGATCCTTCGCGGCGACACGCACCACGATGGCGAAAACCACGACGAAGACGAAGACGAAGATCTGTGGGGTTACTTTTCCGCCTCCGCCTACTCTGGTTACGGCGATACAGGCGAAGGGTTTTACGCAGTGTATGCGAAGATTTTCGACGAGATCTTCGAGAAGGAGCTCGCAGCGGCTCGGCGCGCGGCGCAGAAAGGGGAGGAGGTGGACATGTCGGCGCCGCCGTTCGGCAAGAGGGACAGCTCAGCTGCTGATGTGTCGGCGTTCTTCAAGTACTGGCAGTCGTTCGTGAGCTTGCGCGACTTTTCGTGGAAGGATCAGTACAATCGGGCCGAAGCTCCCAATCGACGGGTGAGATATGCTGACGTTTATGGATTTTTCGGGGATCAGGGTTCAGGGTTCCGGGTGCAAGAGTGGAGCATTATGAGGGCGGTTGGAATGATGTGCGAGAAAGGACTTTAGGTTCAGGGTGCAGGATGGGGATGAGGGAATCGGGCTCACGCGATTGAATCCTCGTATACCCTGCCTGTGCCGCCCTTCCCTCGCGCCCCGTTCTTTTTATGTATGCCGCGTGTGCCACATGTGCCACGTATGCCGCACACGTGCAGGTGCGGCGGCTTATGGAGGAAGAAAACGCGAAGCTTCGGCGGAAGGCGAAGCGCGAGTTCAACGAGGCGGTTCGCCAGCTGGCGGCGTTCGTGAAGAAGCGCGACCCGCGCGTGAAGGAGCAGCAGGCGGAGGCGCGGCGCGTGGCGGCGGAGCGCGAGGCGGAGGCGAAGCGGCGGAGGGAGGAGGAGCGGAGAGAGAAGGCGCGGCGCGCGCAGGAGTATGAAGACCCGGAGTGGGCGCGGGGAGACGGGGAAGGGGAGGATGAGGAGGAGGACGAGGATGAGGAGGGGAATGGAGTGGAGGGGCGTGGAGAGGGGACGGGGAGGCGGAAGGGGCGGAAGGCGGGGAGGGTGGAGGAGGAGGACGACGATTGGTTTGAGGAGACTAAGAAAGGGGGGCGGAAGGGGAAAGGGAAAGGAAAGGGAGGAGGGGGGGCAGGGGCAGGGGCAGATGGATCCGTAACCGTGGCAAACGGGCAGGGCGACGGGCTGGGCTCGGAGAGAGGCGGAGGCAAGAAGAAAAAGAAGAAGGGCAGGCAGGGGGACGCACACACGGGGGGATGCAGCGCGCAAAAGGGGGTGCGGGGGCATGGGGCTGGGGAAGGGGAGGCGGAACTAGGTGAGGCAGGGATGAATGGGGAGGGTGCGGTGGGGATGGGTGAGGCGGGGTTGGACGAGGCGTACTGCGTGGTGTGCAGCAAGGCGTTCAGGAGCGCGCAGCAGCTGGGGAACCACGAGCGCAGCAAGAAGCACCTGGCGCGCCTTGCGCAGCTCAGGGCGGAACTGCTGGCGGACGAGCTGGCGGGGGAGGAGGGGGAGGGGGAGGGGGAGGATGAGGGGGAGGAAGGGGGGGAAGTGGAAGAGGAGGAGGGAGAGGAGGTGGAGGAGATGGAGATGGCTGAGGGGAAGGTTGGAGATGGGGATGGGGATGGGGAAGCGGTTGGTAGGACAGAGAGTGAAGAGGACGAGAGGGAGGAGGGAGAGGTGGAGGAGGAAGAAGGGGAGGGGGTTGATGGGTTGAGAGGGGTGGAGAAGGAGGAGGTAGGAAAGGAGGAAGAAGAGGAGGAGAATGAGGATGATGAGGAAGAAGAGAGGGAAGAGGAGGAGGAGGAGGAGGAGGAGGAGGAGGAGGAGGAGGAGGAGGAGGAGGAGGAGGAGGAGGAGGAGGAGGAGGAGGAGGAGGAGGAGGAGGAGGAGGAGGAGGAGGAAGAGGAGGAGGAGGCAGGTGAGATGGATGAGGAGGAGGAGATGGCAATGCTGGCTGCGATGCTGGCCCGACAGAAGATGGCTGAAAAGAAAAAGAGGAACGAGAAGGCGAAGAAGAAAGCAGAGCAGGAGGAGGAAAGTGAAGAGGAAGAGGAGCAAGAGGAGGAGGCAGCGGCATTGGCAGCAGAGGGTGAGAGCGGGGACACGTCCGCAGCGACTGATGCAGAGGCAAGAGAGATGCAGCAGAGTGACGGCGATGCTCCCATGCCTGCTGCTGCACCCTCTGCTGCCCCTGCTGCTGCACCCTCTGCTGCCCCTGCTGCTGCATGTGGCTTGCATGAGGCGGCGGATGGGGTGGCAGCAGAGAGAGACGGGCAGGGGGTAGCAGCAGGTGACAATAGTGAAGGTGACAGCAAGGAGGGTGGTGGGAAGGAGGGGAGGGAGAGTGAGGGAGCAGCGGGGGGAGGCGGGGAGGGGGAGGATGAGGAGGAGGGGGTTACAAAGGGGAAGGGGAAGAAGGGGAGGCGGAGGGCAGCAAAGGGTGCGGGGGGAAAGGGCGGAGTTTCAGGGGGGAATGGGGGAGTGGGGGAGGCAAGCGGGCCGAAAGCCACCCTTGGTGGTGGGGAAGGGGGCGGCAGTGGTGGCATGGTGGACGGCTGGGGAGAGAAAGGGGGGAGGGGCGGGAGGGGCGGCAAGAAGGACAGAAAAAAGGGGAAGAACGCAGAGGTGGGTTGGAGGCATGATGTTTCGTGGGGCTGTCTGTAGGGCCGGCAGCAGGTGGCCATGCATGCAGGGCGTTGAGTGAGAGGCTGGCGAAGAGATCACAGAGGTGATGCATGATGCTTTGGTTGCCAGCCTTTGTCTGACCTTTGTCTGGCCTGCTGCCTGCTGTTGTCACTCACTCACACGTCCCTCTTGTGGCTGTGCCTGCTGCCGCTGTCTGTCGTACTCTGTGATCCCCTTCCTCACCTTAACCCCTTGCCCCTTGTGTCCCTTGCCCCTGTACCTCCTGCTTCTGTGTCTGAATGCAGCCGGCACTGGCCTGTGGAGTGTGTGGTCTCGAGTTCGATTCCAGGTGAGCTCACTTAATTCCAGCTTGCACCACTGTGGGATTCATCAGGCTCTGCACCATCTCATGTGCCACCTGCCTGCCTCTTCCTCCTCGTCTCATGCCTCGTGCCCTCACCACCACCACACCACTTCGCCTCACACTCACGATCTGCCCATGCCTCCAACCCTTCCCTCTTACCAGGAACCAACTGTTCAAGCACATAGCAACCAAGGGGCATGCACAGCTCAAGACGTGACTGCTGCCATGGGGCCATGCGGATGGGGGCTGACATGGTTGTATGGATACCTTCTCGTCGATGTACAGTACCATGCTTACAAGCTGCTCAGCACATGTGGTTTAAAGCCGTTGGCTCAAATTGCACAAGTTTTAAAAAGAAGATGAGGGGGGTTTACAGGTTTGGGTTTTGGCGACTGTTTCTGATTTCGTCAAAGTCGTTTTCTTCGCCAAACCCACCGAGCCCCTCGTTTTTTCCCTGGTGGGTGTGATTGACTTCGAAAGTCCCAAATTGTACCTGCGCAGCTTTTCAAAGCATGCACATGTCAGAATGAGGAATGGATGTTGCATTGATGTTGGTTGGGGTACATATGACAAACCCTAACTTCTGTACCCCCTAAGACAAACCTCACTACAGGTTACAACATTTGACACACCCCCATAGCCTAAGTGAGGGGTGTCTAGCAAAAACAAAAAAGAGTACGGTCACAAGACCAGTCCAAAAGAAAACAAAGCTCAGGGTGGATCACAACGTCACCACACACTCTGAGCACAACCAACAGTGGCCACAAGGCCAGTCCAAGAGATCACAAGTATATATAGTAAGTGTACAGACGAAGCAGGCAATAAACTCAAGTCTACGCATGACTAGAACCTGTGTCAACAAGGCCTAACTGCACACAACACCTCTGGTGGTCACAAGGCGGAAGCGCCTTGGTGAAGATGTCTGCAGTGTTGGCCTCGGACTCTACAAACTCGAAGCGAGCCTGTCCACGCCTCTGCAACTCTCGCAGAAGAAAGTACCTGACGTGAATGTGCTTCACTCTGCTCTCCAGTCGCGGCTCACGACAGAGGAGGATCGACGCCTTGCTGTCAGTAAACAAGGTCGGTGCAGAGCTCGGCCGCTCACCAAGGTCGGCGAGCAAGAAGGTCAACCACCGTAACTCCTGTGCCGCCATGGCACCAGCGTAAATCTCAGCCTCAGCTATAGAGGTCGAGACAGAAGAGGAGCGCGTGGAACGCCAGGAAACAGCTCCAGAACCCAGACTGAAACAGTACCCCTGAGTAGACCTGTGAGTCTCAGCGTCGTCAGCGTAAGAGGAGTCACAGCGACCAGTGAGTACGACAGACTGCTGCCCTCCAAGAACTAGCCCCACGCCTGATGTAGTCGCTAGGTACTTCGCCACCCTCACAGCTGCCGTCCAGTGAACAGGACGGTGTCTCCCTGGCGCAACAAAGCGCGCAAGGATGCTGAGAGGGAAGGCGAGGTCCGGGCGAGTACAAGTCATCAGGTACATGAGGCAACCCACAAGCTCTGCGTAGGGACCACTAGGCTCAAACGGCTCGTCAGGAAAGGGACCAGTGAGTCTGTGGTCAACAGCTAGAGGTGTGCGCTGTACGGTGGAGTGCTGAAGCCCGAACCGCTGAAGGACCTGCTGCACCATGTGTGACTGTGAGAGTGTAATGGTGCGAGCGGCTCTGTCCCTGGTGATCTGCAGGCCAAGGTAGTGGCGCAGCTCACCAAGATCAGTGCACGTGCGTCTCTTCTGCAGTTCGGACTTCACGTCTGCCAAAGCAACCCTGTCCGAAGTGGCGAAAACGAGGTCGTCGACGTAGACCAGAACAAAGAACGGTGTGGAGCCACGACGAACGAACAGCGACGGGTCGGCAGAAGACGGCTGGAACCCAAGGTCAGAGAGGGTAGAACGCAGAGTGTCGTGCCACTCACGAGGGGCCTGGCGAAGACCGTAAACAGGTCGCCTCAGCCTCCACTGGGTCCCAGGAGGGAAGGTGCCAGTGAAGGCCGAGGGACGACGCAACCAGACCTCCTCGTGTAGGCTGCCCTGAAGGAAAGCAGTGGAGAAGTCGAGAGAGTGTAACTCGTAGTCTCTCTGTGCTGCTACGTGTAGTAACACCCGAAGAGTGGTCATCTTCGGGGTAGGTGCGAAGGTCTGAAAGAAGTCAACTCCCTCGCGCTAACTGAAACCTCTAGCCACGTAGCGCGCCTTGAAGACCGGGGGAGATCCCGGTGGCCGCTTCACCCTGTAGATCCACATGCCGTCGACTACGTTCGCCCCAGGGGGGGGAACCTCATCGACGTAGGTGCCTGTGGATCTGTAGGAGGCCATCTCTGCGTCCATGGCAGCTCTCCACTGAGAGGCCCAAGGCCCTGACACTGCCTCAGCGTAAGTGCGAGGAGTCGGAATGTCAAGGGCGTCGGGGTCACCCTCAGGGGCGAGGAGCATGGCACAGAGATGAGGGGAAGCGGCCGCCAGGAACTCTAGCTCAAACTGCCTGTCCTCTAGGGCGTCACAGCCAAGGGCAGACACACCCCCGACGGCCAGAGGACTGGTAGGAGGAGCAGCCACAAGCGTGGTGGCGTAGTCAAGGCGGCGGGTAGAGGCAAAGTCAGTAACTGCGGCAGTAAGAGCGGACACAGAGGACACAGAGGCACGAGGGTGAGTAACAAGAGAGGCGAGAACACGAGAGAGAACAGGACGGTACGTGCGGTAGTAGTCAGTGACAGGAGTAGGGAGCGACACAGTGAGGGCCGACTCAGGAGGAGACGGAAGCACAGACTGAGACGGACGAGGTGGACTAGAAAGAAGGAAGGCAGTACGAAGGTCAGTGAAGGGAACAGGAGACGAGGGACGAGCACGAGGGGAGCGACGAGTAGCCCAAGAACGAGACGGAGGAGGAGAGGACAAAGGCGGAGAACTGGGGAAAACAGCGGGGGAGGAGTCAGGAGGAGGAAACGTGGGACCGTAGACAGGAGGAGAGGCGGAGGAGGGAGGAGAAGGGGAGGGGAGACCAAGGATCCGAAGACCCGAGACAGGAGGAGGAAGTGGCTGCTGCTGCTGCGGCTGCGACTGCTGCTGCTGCAGACGCGGCTGCTGCTGGGACTGCTGCTCCTGCGGGTCCAGCTGCTGCTGCTGGTGCTGCTGCTCCTGCGGCTCCAGCTGCTGCTGCTGCTCCTCCAGCCGCTGTAACTCCCTCTCCTCTCTCTCCAACGCCAGCTGCTCGTCACGGGCACGGCGAACACGAGCCTGGTGCCTAGTCGGGTAGGGGTGGGGGGGTGGAGTAGTGTCCGAAGCAGCGGCAGCTCCAGAGTCCACCTCAGAAGAACTAGGCGCACCACCCCCAGAGGCAGCACTAACACCAGCTCCAGAACCAGGCTCACCTGAACCCGAAGGAGGCGCACCCTCACCCCCAGACGCAGCACCCCCAGTGTCCGCGCGGCCAGCACCAGCTCCCGGACGACAAGAGTCCTCTGCACCCACCGGGTCAGCTCCAACTCCAGAACCAGAAACTCCAGCTCCAACCCCAGCTCCAACTCCAGCACCCCCAGAGCCAGAAACTCCAGTGCCAACTCCAGCTCCAACTCCAGCTCCAACTCCAGCACCCCCAGAACCAGAAACCGGTACAGGAACAGGCGCCGCACCAACCTCTCGAGAGCTAGCACCAGCGGCACGCTGCGAGGAGGACTGTGGGGAGGGAGGCTGTACCGGAGGGGCTACCGAAGGAGGGGTAGCCTGGGACACACCTGACGGGGCTGGACCAGGGGGGGGAGGCTGTACCGGAGGAGCAGGAGGGGGAACGGCAGTCAGGAAGAGGGGGGGAGGAGGAACCGAGAGACCTCGACTGGGGTACCTGACGTAGTATGGAGTGGACTCCTCGAAACGGACGTCACGGGAGTCAAAGAACCGGTGAGAGGGAGGGTGGTAAAAGGTGAAGTCAGAGGAGTCCTCAGGGAAACCAAGGAAGACACAGGGGACGGCACGAGGCGAGAGCTTGTCCGCGGAGGTGTCGCGGACAAGAGCCAAGCACCCCCAGACACGAAACCGCGACGCAACACCAGGGGACCCTGTCCAAAGACTGGTCGGTGAAACCTCTGGTCGAGAGACACGTGGCCAGAGGTTCAGCTGGTGCGCGGCGTACCTGACCGCGTAGGGCCACAGAAAATGGGGGGCACAGGCGTGAGTCAGGGAGGTGCGGGCGATCTCCATGACCAGGCCTATGCGGCGCTCAGCAACCCCATTCTGCTGTGGGGACTCTGGAAGCGTCCAGGACTGACGAATGCCCTGCTCGCGACAGAATCCAGCGAGAATGCCGGAGCGAAACTCACCCCCACGGTCGGAGTGGAGACAGCTGACACGACGACCACGAGTGTCCTCAGTGGTGAGCAACCACCTGATCAGCGTAGAAGTCACCTCAGACTTCTTCGCCAGAGGGAACACTGTGGTGTAGCGGGAGAAGTCGTCAACTACCACCAGAAAGTAACGCTCACACTCAGGGCCTAGACAAGGGGCTGGGCCCCAGACGTCCAAGTGAAGCGTCTCAAAAGGCTCGGTGGCTGGACGAAGGGAGGAGGAGTGAGGGGTGGCGCGCAGCCTACCCTCGACGCAGGGACGACACGGCGGCGCAGGCGAAGGCGGCAGCGACGGCAAGACACGTGGGAGGCCTAGGACAAGACGCTGACTAGACATAGCGCGCAGACGTGGAAGGGACGGGTGCCCCATCCGGTGGTGCCACAGAACGGTGGGGTGGGCAAGCGACCGGCAGGAGCACGACGCAGCGACTGGAACAGACGTAGGAACCTGACACGACACAGACACCTGGGGGGACGTAGCAACCTGGTGAGACGCGGGGACCCGAACGGGGGGGGGAACCGGGGGCAGTGGCAGTAGGGGGGGCTGCTGGTGCGGCCGCTGGTGCTGCTGCTGCTGCTGCTGCTGCTGCTGCGGCTGCTGCTGCTGCTGCGGCTGCTGCTGCGGCTGCTGCTGCGGCGCACGCGGGCCAGTGTGAAGAGTGTAGAGACCCGAGCCCGGCTCAGCAGTAAAGGTAGCAAGAGGCTGGTAAGAGTCTCCGTCAACACACACCGTAGTCTCTCCATAAGGCTCAAACCACACACCCACGTGCTGACTCACGAGGGGTCGCACGCCCACCAAGTTCCGGGAGAACGAGGGGACGTGAAACCCAGTGAGAGACCCGGAGGGAGCAGCAGGACACGGTAAAGTGGTAGTGTGACGTGCAGTGACTGGTCCCGTAGTGGGATCAGCCAACGCTACAGAAACAGGCGCAGGAAGTGGTGTAAGTGTCGTGCTGTCCCGAAAGAAGCAGTGGGAGGCTCCAGAGTCCAGTGTGAACGACAGCGAAGCGTCCTCTGAGGTAGTCGCTGGTCTAGAGTCTACACAAGTACCTACACTAGCAACAGGCAACTGAGCAAGACTAGCACCTAAGCTAACAACACCAGAGTAAACAGAGTCAGAAACACTAGAGTCAACAACAGCATACATAGCATGAGGAGCACTAATCAGATCAACTAACTGCTCAGCAGACATGCCCCACAGAGCGAAGCCGTGGCGCTGAACCAGAGGAAGCCAGTCAGGAGCAGGATCGCCAACCCCGTAGGTCAACCGGACCGTGTCAGTGAGCTGAGCAAAGCACTGACCAGGGGGGTGAAAGCGGCCACAAGGGTGGCCCCGACAAGGACCTGTCTGAACCTGGTAGGGGCAGGGAGGGTAAGCAGCACCGCGCTGGGGCTGACGCAGCCCCGACCCCGGAGCCAGCTGCTGACGCTGCTGCTGGTGAGGCTGCTGGGAGGAAAGGGGCTGCTGCTGCTGCTGAAGGTGCTGCTGACGCTGAGCCTGGTACCACGCCGCTGCTCCACCTAGCGGGGCCGGCAGTACAGGAGGCGACTGACGAGCTCGAGGGTCGCCGCCACCAGCAGGTGCAGTGGAGTCACGAGCCGCTGCACGAGGGGTCTCTCCAGACGCTGCACTCCCACCACCGCCAGTCGCAACAGCACCCCCACTACCTCCGCTACCTCCGCCTCCACCTCCACCGGAACCACCTTTCTTGCCCCCCCTGCCGCGGGACCGCGACGCAGTCGTAACAGCACCCGCAGTCGCGTCAGTAGCGGCAGTGGCAAGAGAGGCAGTGAAGGTGGGTAACTGCGGGACTGTGCACCCGTGGAAGAGTGGGGGGGACACAGTACCAGAGGCGGCAGCTACCGAACGAAGGTTGCTCTCGACGTCCTTGAGTGCAGACTCAAGGACCTCGATAGTCAGCTCACTAGGGTGCTTCAGCAGAAGCGCGTCACGAACGGAGGCAAGGCGGTCAGGGAGGCTAGTGGCGATGAAATAGACAGTAATCGCCATGGGGGGAGGAAGCAGTGCAAGCTGTGCCTCAGTGCAAGCAGCGCGGTAACTAGCGTCGAGCGAGCGGAGGTGAGCGATCAAGTCAGCAGAGCGCTCAAACGAGGCAAGATCAGGAAACAGGAACGGGAGGAAAAGACGGCCAAGAGAGACAGTAGCGGGAGTAGAGTAGCGGGCCTTAATCGCAGTGAGGTACGCAGCAGCGGTGCGAACCTGAGTAAAGTGGACCTCCTCGGACTCAGGGAGGAGGCTGCTGAGTGCGATGCAGGCCGCAGCGTCACGCGACGTCCAAGCCGTCCGGTCAGCGCGCTGACGGGCAAAGCGAGCCGTAGCAGCGTCGTCAGGAGCAGGGCCTAAAGCGGTAGGCTCGGGGGGCTCGGGGAGGTCACCAGTAGCGTGTGACCAGAGGGTCTCGCCCCCCTGGACCTGACTCTCTAACAGACGACGAGCGCGAAGAAGCCAGACGGAAAAGTCAAGGGGTCTACCGTCAGCGTCGAAACGAAGAACTCGCGGAGTCGCCATAGTGAGAACCAACGCGAACGAACAGGCGAGTAACAACCGGGGGGGAAGAGGACTCAGTCGCAGCGGAAGAGCGGGCTAGGGCGACGGGCCAAAACGTAGGGTAGGGCAACGGGCCAGGGCCTAGGGTAGGGCGACGGGCCAGAGCCTAGGGAGGGCGACGGGCCAGGGCCTAGGGAGGGCGACGGGCTAGGGCCTAGGGAGGGCGACGCGACGGGGGAAAGGGCGGGAGCGACGCGACGGGGCAGGGCGACGCGACGGGACAGGGCGACGCGACGGGGCAGGGCGGGGTGACGCGACGTGACGGGACAGGGCGACGCGACGGGACAGGGCGACGGTACGGGACAGGGCGACGCGACGGGACAGGGCGACGGGACAGGGCAGGGCGACGCGACGGGACAGGGGGGAACAGGCGGGCGCGACGCGACGGGGGGAACGGGCGCGACGCGACGGGGGGAACGGGCGCGACGCGACGGGGGGAACGGGCGCGACGCGACGGGGGGAACGGGCGCGACGCGACGGGGGAGATGATACTAGGCTCGGTACTAGGCGCGGTAACAACTAAACTGGTACGAACGAGAGGTAGGATCAGGCTCGGGAGGTACGAACGGAGAACGGAGGAACGGGATCCCACAGGATCCTAACCTAGCTGATACCATGTCAGAATGAGGAATGGATGTTGCATTGATGTTGGTTGGGGTACATATGACAAACCCTAACTTCTGTACCCCCTAAGACAAACCTCACTACAGGCTACAACATTTGACAGCACAGGGCACTTCGTCAAGTTTTAAAAACTTGACCCGCGCAGTCCGCAATTTGGGCCGCGGGCTTTAAGGTGCCTCGAGCAGTAGCATGCAAGGGTGCAGGCCCCACGTTATCAGGGCAAAAAATCCTGATTACCCTGAATTCAGGATGTAGTTTTAAATTTACCCTGTCATTTCAGAATAGTGTAAATTTTAACCCTGAGGCCTCAGGATGTTTTTATATGAAATACCCTGAACATTCAGAATGGCTGTAGTGTTCTTCCCTGTAGCGTCAGGATGAATGCCGAGGCCTGCCCTGACGCGTTTTTTGGTGGGGGGGAGGGGGGGGGGGGTCCCGTGGCAAAATTGTCGGTAACCGCTGAATCAACCGTCTAGATATCCAGAAATGGCCTAGGCAGTAGAAAGTTACTTCCAAAAGATGAGGTCTTCGGATCGAACCCTCCCCCGTGCAGGCATATCTGCAGCTTCAACCTGGCTTGCCGACCAACTATTATGAACCCTGAACGCTTATATTTTTGCCCTAACAGGCCAGGATATTTTTTTGTAGAAGCCCTGAAATTACAGGAAGCCTCCGAAAAGTTGCCCTGACAAATCAGGGCATTTTTTCAGATTCTGGAAAGTTGCCCTGAGGCCTCAGGATGCCCCAAAACCTAGCACAGGCCCTGCAAGGGTGTCAGAGGTCCACTGGTGATCCCCGATTGATCCTAGGAGAGGGTTACAGGCGCGTTCGCCTGGGGGGTTATGGGCGCACTGACCCGCTACTGAAATAAGCCCTTTTATCCCAATGGTCTAGTGGTTGGGATTCTGACATGGTATTAGAGCAAAGGTCTCGGGTTCGAATCCCAGTGTATGCACTTCGGGCATCCCAGTGCGGGGGGGTGTCAGAGGTCCACTGGTGATCCCCGATTGACCCTAGGAGAGGGTTACAGGCGCGTTCGCCTGGGGGGTTATGGGCGCACTGACCCGCTACTGAAATAATCCCTTTTATCCCAATGGTCTAGTGGTTGGGATTCTGACAAAGGGCCAGAGGCAGCATGCAAGTCCTGGGGCCTGATAACCTGTAGAGTGCGAAGCAGATCCATCCATGTGAGTACGTAGGTTTGGCCTCTTATTGTACGGTATGTGACACTGTTTACCTCTCCTGAAGTTATTACCGTATTGCTAAGGGGGTGGGAGAGCACAACACTTGCACTGCCATTCCCTGTTTGCCCTCTCAACCCCCAGCCAGTCAGTCATGCACGTGCCTGCTGGCTCTGCACCAAAAGCTGCTTACAGGTATCGTATGTGGAGATGTGCACTTAGCTCATTCGTTAGATTACAAAAACTTGCCCTGCTAATCAAGTTATGAAGGAATCTAAAAGGCAACCATATGATATGACTATGATGAAATGAACACAACAGTTTAAGTAACACATGGGCCCTTGGCTCATTTGGCGAGTGGCACGAGGCAATCATATACAGTCGCCATGCGCGTTGCTAGCAGCTGCCGGCCTTGCATGTCCATGTGGGGGCTTGCTATATCGAGTATATCCTGCTGCAGGCTGGTGGCATGGCACAAAGGGGGTGGGTGGGTGGGTGGGGGGGAGCAGCAAAGAGGACAGGTGAGGAAGTTCAATGTAATGACTTGGACACCATCAAAGCTGCATGGGAGCATCAGAGCATGGCAGCATGGCATGGCAGCACGGGGGCCATGTGCATGGTAGGGAGCATGGCATCAATGATTCAGCACACCATGGGTACATACATGCCAACTTAGACTCACCGTGACCACTCGCCCTCCTTGCTGGCTTGTCGTTGCACCGCCACATACAGCCGATGCAGCAGATACACCAACATGCCGTGCCACACTGCCACGTCATCCAATGATGACACGTCATTCGCTGATGATGCCACATCATCACACGGCGCTGAGCTGGGATTGAGAGTCGACACCGACGTTGATCCGGGAAGTGGTGCTGATGCTGACGTGGAGGGCGCTGCTGACGTGGATATAAACGATTGGGCTGGTGGTAACGCCTTGGACGATGGTGACACCCGCAGGTGGTTACGCAGCAACACGTGTCGCTCCACGTCAGCGAGTAGCATCCGTCGTCTTGTCTGTGCCATCCGGCCTTTTCCTTCCGCACCCCGTGCCTGATGGGTATGGGCACCGGCATGGATGGAAGATGGGCATTCATCGCTGGTTGAAATGGGGAGAGCAGAGGGCGAAGCACACAGGAGGGCTCCAGGAGGGAAAGGCTGGAAGCTGGAAACAGAGCAAGTTGTAGCAACATATTGATGTAGCAGCAACAGAGTCAATTTGAGTAGACGCGAGTCAACTTCAATAAACCCGATGCGAGTTCATGTGCCTTGGAAACCAAGCAGTTATTAGTGAAGAGCCCGGACAGCAGCAGCAGAACGCCTTTTGATTCGACTAAATAAATAAACTCTAAGTCACCTCAGGTTAGCTCAGGTCCGTTTACCTTTGAGACGGAGAAGTCCTGGGAGGGAGAAGAGGCCGGAGAGCAGCAGCAGGGCGACTTCAAGTTTACTCATATGTCAACTCTGGTCAGCTTGGGTCCACTCAACTCCACTTGCCTTTGAGATGGAGAAGTCACGGGAGAGGGAGAAGAGTCCGGAGAGCAGCAGCAGGGCGGGCAGGGCAGTGAGCAGAGCGAAGTTGATCTGATTCGCCCTCAGAATCTGCTCCAACTCCAACATGGCGCTGTTGCACGGGGGGAGCGGGGAGGGGAGGAGAGGAACGAGGGGGGAGGTGAGGAAGGAGGGGGGAGGTGAGAGTAAGGAGGTGAGAGGGAGGAGGGGAAGAGGGTGAGCAGCGCATAGTTGATCTGATTCGCCCTCAGAATCTGCTCCAACTCCAACATGGCGCTGTTGCACGGGGGGAGCGGGGAGGGGAGGAGAGGAACGAGGGGGGAGGTGAGGAAGGAGGGGGGAGGTGAGAGTAAGGAGGTGAGAGGGAGGAGGGGAAGAGGGTGAGCAGCGCATAGTTGATCTGATTCGCCCTCAGAATCTGCTCCAACTCCAACATGGCGCTGTTGCACGGGGGTGAGGGGTTGAGTGAGGGTATGGGGAGGAGGGGGGAGGGAGAGGGAGAGGGGAAAGAGGGTGAGCAGAGCGAAGTTGATTTGGTCCAAATCAACTCCACCATGGCCCTGTGGCACGGGGGGAGGTGATGGGAGGGCGGATGGGGAGGAGTTGAGAGGGAGTGGGGAAAGAGGGTGAGAGGGCAAAGTTGATCTGATTCGCACTCAGAATCTGCTCCAACTCCAACGTGGCTCTGTTGCCAAGGGTCCGGGAAAGAGGAAGACGGGAGGATCGGGAAGGAGGTGAGAGGGAGTGGGAAAAGAGGGTGAGCAGAGCGAAGATGATCTGATTCGCCCTCGATATCTGCTCCAACATGGCTCTGTTGCACGGGGGAGAGGGGGGTTGCGGGAGGGGGAGGTGGGGGAGCAGTGGAGGGTGGCAGGTGTAGCAGGCAGTGAAACACATGTGAGGGGTACGGATCCGGCTAGGGGAGGACAGACAGACAGAAGGTACAAGCAGCTTAGGACGGAGCAGGGGAAAAAAGGGTAATGGAAAAAGGGTAATGGAAAAAGGGTAATGGAAAAAGGGTAATGGAAAAAGGGTAATGGAAAAAGGAGCAAAGGCCAATTTACAGTCGCATGGCATGGAGTGGTGATGGCAGGAGAATGGGGGCTTACGTTTCAATGTGCAGTTTCATTCGTTGAACCTGGGAGAGGGGGCAGAGGCGAGGGGACAGAGGAGAGGAGGATGAAGAGCAGACATATTCAGTGAACCTGGACACGTCACGCAGGGCAGGCATGAGTGCTGGAGAGTGGCAAATGAGCTCATGCATGCGTGGATGTGGGGTGCCACGTGCAGGTGAAGATGAAGATGGGTGCAAGCAAGCAATTCACCTGAAAGTTCATCCGAGTGTTCAGTGAATATTCACCTGGATGAGCAGCGCCTCAGCCAGCCTCCCCATGAGGAGGTGAGTGAGGGGGTTAGCCATATCCTTCTCATACTCCCGCATCGCCAATGCCATCAGATCCGACTCTGATGGCACTCCTTTGCACCCGAAGGCACTCCTGCACCCACTGATGAGTATGCTGCACCAGTGGGATCGTGCAAGCAAACCACAAGGCACCCACCTGAATCAACAGTGCTTCAGCCAGCCTCCCCGTGAGGAGGTGAGTGAGGGGGTTAGCCATATCCTTCTCATACTCGCGCATCACCAATGCCATCAGATCCGACTCTGATGGCACTCCTGCTCCCACATGTGCATCAGCTGCTCCTGTACTGCCGCTGCCGCTGTTGCTGCCGCTGCTGGTGCTGGTGCTGGTGGTGGTGCTTGTGGTGCTGGTGTTTTCGAGTGCCAGTGGCTGGGTTTTCTCAACAAAGGTCAGCAGCATTCTGACGGGCCATGGGGACAGGGGTGGGAAACGAGGGCGCCAGGGGTGGGAAATGTTATGAGTTGAATCAAAGGGCGACAGGGATGGGCAACACTGTGGCAAGCAGTGCAGCAAAACTTTTGAGGCGCCTCAAAAGTCGTCTCATGTCTCGCGGTTTTTATGTGGGGAGAATTATAATTGCATGGAAGTGTGCACGTAACCTTCAGCGGTTACTCGTAAGGGCGCGGTTACCAAAGTCACTCGCCAATGCTGTCGAAGAAGTTCCCGGAGGCTGACTTGGCACCCTGAATTTGTTTCATTGCCTAGTTGGCGAACCCCTTTCCTAGTTGGATTCTGGGTAGTTGGGTTTCTTGTACGTAGATCTCGAGGGTAGTCTAGCTACTTTAGCTGCTACCAGACTCTCTGGTTCTGAGTTCCGAATTGTGCTGTACTGATGAAGGCGTGATTGGGTTCGCCCATCCACCCAAACTAGTTTACGCAAGGAGGCTTTTCGGAAGCTAAGGGTTTTTCAGATCTGCGTGTTTTTCACCAGTTTTTACTGTTTGTTCCTTTGCTTAAGCGTCCTCTCTACTACTGCAGCCCTTCGAAACATGAGTCAGGGTGACCCTTGGGATACCGAATGGTTTCCAGAAAACGAAGAGGCCGGTACTGAAGGACGCGGCTCGTCGAAGAAAGCTCGTGGGCGCGGAGGATTGTCGCGTCCTGCTACCAGGAGTGCATCGAAGCACTCGCGGGACGGCAGTCGTATTCCGCCTTTGCAGTTGACCTACAAACCTGTTTCACGAAGCAAGCAACCTGAGATTCCTCCCCCCGGACCTTGTGGGAGTCGTCCAAGCATGGAGATGCCGGATCAGCCCGTTCACAATCCTCCCATTCCTCACATTCTCACCCGTTGGACTGCTGCAGCGGTGAAAGATTTCCAGGACGGCTTCAAGGACCTTCTTAAAGCGAAAAGCAAGCTCAAAAAGATGAAGAAGTTGGATCGCCAAGGTTCTATTCTGCACAGCATCAGGACTAAGGCGGTCGAATTCCAGACGAAGAACGGCTCCGTCAAAGAGAAATCTGCAGCAGCTGTCGCGAAGATCCACTTGGAGAATAAAAAACGGCTGCACGCGGAGTTTATCGCTTCTAAAGAACTGGAGGTTGAAGAAATTCAGGCAGCTGTCGGCACGCATGTCACGACTCTGGCGACGAAGATGGAAGAGTACATCAAAAGCCTCAGCTCCGACCCCGATCTGGTGGTTTCTGATGCCGCCAAAGAACGCTATCGGCGACTGAAGGGGCGGTGCATCGAGAAGGCTCAATCTGACATCGCGGCGGCCAAGGATGAGATGACCATCCGAGAGATCGATCGACAGCATAAGCTGGCGGCTGAGGATTTGAAGAACGCTGCTGCAGCTGAGGAGGTGCAGGAGATGGAAATGGAGCCTGCGATTGAGGAGATTCTGGCTAAGCATGCCAAGAAGATTGAAGACAAGCTCGGCGGGAGATTACGCAGAAGCTTGAGGCCAGTCTATCTAAGAAGCTGCAGAAGAATCTTCACATCGGAGAGCAGAACTCTTCGCAGGCCACATCCGCTGACAAGAAGCAGACGGCTCAACCTGGGAGGCAGGACGGTGCACCTGGGAAGCCTAAGCCGAAGAAGAAGCGGGGTGGTAAGACTCCAAAGAAGCAGAATTCCAGCGCCGACAAAGAGCAGCAGGCGAAAGGCCCTACCACATCGAAGGCCAAGGGACCAAAAAACAGCGGAGGCGGCCCCGTAAAAGGGCCGCACAAGAAGTGACCAGCCACGATTTGGCGCTCCGTTGGTTCGCGAAGCTAACGTTTCGGCAGGCGGCGTTACAAGTTTGCAACCGCGGAGTTCATAACCTCAGCGCCAAAGTCTTGTCCTTGGACGAGAAGAAAGCGCTGGGGCTTGGTCTGAAGTTTATCCCAAAGCCCGCTGTTTCCCTTTCTACGGTCGAGTTAGATCAGCTTTGCCGACAGATTTCGCTACGTTTCTTCTTCAAGGATGCAGACCCGGCTAAGGACTATCGTTTTGGAGTGGAAATCCGAGCTGGGCACCTGATCGGAGTGAGATTCCAGAGCAGGTCTTCAGAGATTCGTCCTCGGACTTATCTTTTCTGCTGAAGGCATCTAGGCCTCCTCGACACCGAAACATCTCGTTACGTGTTCGACAGGCCTTGCGTTCCATCGCCGCAGATCGTAGTGTGGTTATTAAACCGGCCGACAAGAACATCGGGATCACTGTGATGGATCGGGAACTTATGTTCGTCTCTGTATGGACCATCTAGGCAACAGATCGACTTACACCCCGGTTCTCCACGATCTTACTGCCTTAGTCGTTCAGGGACTGCACGAACTGCGTCACGCATGGGGCCCTGCTTATCCCGACAGCCTTTGGAAGTATTTTCTAGACGAACCACCTGGAGGTTGGAAACCCGCAGCCTTTTTCATCCTTCCTAAGCTACATAAGAAGCAGCTCGCTGGGCGTCCGATCGCCGCTTCGCATTCATGGGTTACTTCGAATGTCAGTAGATGGTTAGATGCGGAACTTAGACCGTGGGTGCTACGACAGCATACTTACCTCCGAGACTCTCTTTCGCTACTCTTGTCGCTGGAGGAAACTTCATTTCCTAAGGAGATTCTTCTAGCCACGTACGACGCCTCGTCGCTCTACCCCAGTATTCCTCTTAGGCGCGGACTCGATGCGGTGAGCAGCATTTTGCAACGAGGGAGTCACCACAGTCTTCAACCAGTCATGATGAATTCTTACGTGGAGTTCGACGGCCACCTGTACCACCAGACGCAAGGGACCGCTATGGGAACTCCTGCAGCGGTCTGCTTTGCGGTACTTTTCATGAGCCGCCTGGATGAACTTTTGAGGGAGAGATGGTCCGGAACGCAACCTCTACGCCATGTCAGATACATCGACGATGGCCTGATTCTTTGGCCTGGATCGAGGAGTGAGTTGGAGAAGTATCTGCAGACCTTCAACGAGCTTGACCCGAATATCAAACTGACGTGGCAGATTTCGGACAGCTCAGCTGATTTTCTTGATTTGGTCTTATTCAAGGGACCGAGATTTGCTGGGCAGGGTATCTTGGATCTGAAGACATTCCAGAAACCGCTTAACCAATACCTTTATCTCCCTTTTTCGTCTTTTCATCCCCGACACTGCAAGACTGGTTTCATTGCAGCTGAACTGAAGCGTTATCTTCTCCGCTCGACTGCTGCAGATACCTTTCTCGCCTCCAAGCGCGCTTTCTACCAGCGGCTACCAAGTCGGGCTTACCCCTCTGATTTCCTTCTACCCATCTTCAGGAGCATTTTCTTTCGACCACGACCTCTCCTTCTGGAGCAGACAGCTGCCCGCCACGCACACAAACTTGAAACTCCCCCCGAACGCGGCCCCCTAGTCTTGAAGACACTGTTCACACCTTTGACCGGACGTCTCAGGCTGGGGGTGCTTTTGAGGCACCTCAAAAGTCGTCTCATGTCTCGCGGTTTTTATGTGGGGAGAATTATAATTGCATGGAAGTGTGCACGTAACCTTCAGCGGTTACTCGTAAGGGCGCGGTTACCAAAGTCACTCGCCAATGCTGTCGAAGAAGTTCCTGGAGGCTGACTTGGCACCCTGAATTTGTTTCATTGCCTAGTTGGCGAACCCCTTTCCTAGTTGGATTCTGGGTAGTTGGGTTTCTTGTACGTAGATCTCGAGGGTAGTCTAGCTACTTTAGCTGCTACCAGACTCTCTGGTTCTGAGTTCCGAATTGTGCTGTACTGATGAAGGCGTGATTGGGTTCGCCCATCCACCCAAACTAGTTTACGCAAGGAGGCTTTTCGGAAGCTAAGGGTTTTTCAGATCTGCGTGTTTTTCACCAGTTTTTACTGTTTGTTCCTTTGCTTAAGCGTCCTCTCTACTACTGCAGCCCTTTGAAACATGAGTCAGGGTGCGCCAGGGGTGGGAAATGTTTTGAGTTGAATCAAAGGGCGACAGGGATGGGCAACACAACACTGTGGCAAGCAGTGCAGCAAAAGGTTTCACTCTGTTTCACCTCGTGCTGCGCTTCCCCTTGCTGACTGCGTTTCACTGACTGGGAATATATTAAATTCGCTCATCATGCAAGGTCACGCCGCCCTGGTGCTTGTCACTGTTGACCGTGTTTCACTTGCTTGACTCTCGTTGACTGGCTTGACTCTCACCTCCTTAGGGAATTAGTGGAAGCCTGCACGTCATGCATGGACACGTTGCCCCTCTGCTTGCCTCTGTTGACCGTGTTTGACTTGACCGACCCTCACAGCTGACTGGCATGACTCTCACCTCCGCAGCGAGTCAGTGGAGGCTTGCACGTCATGCATGGACACGTTGCCCCTCTGCTGGTCGCTGAACGTGTGAAAGAGCTCTGCACTGATTGCTGACAGCTGGACGGGTGAGTGATGGGATAAGGGGTGAAGGGGCAGAGTGAGGACGGCAGCAAAGGTGGAGTGAGGGAGGGAGACGAGGTGCCACAACATGCCCCTCTGCTGGTCACCGAACATGTGGAAGAGCTCTGCACTGATCGCTGACAGCTGTTGGGGTTGAGAATAGGAGCAGGCGCCAGCAGGGAAGGAGTGAGGCGTGTGGTGAGGAGGAAGAGGTGGGAACACTGTGAGCGTTTTTGTTTAGCGTTCTCAAAAATCGTGAGGCGTGTAGTGAGGGGAGATAATCGCTACAACTGGTAGACGAGAAAAGCTGACGATGCTTACCGGTTGCCATATGTGGTCAGTGACAAACCCTGTCACCGCTCTCCACCCATCTGCAGCCCACCTGCTCAAGGGACACACGAATGTGCAAGGCAAGATGGGTGAGTTGCAACTCACTCCTACCTCACTTCCTAAACCATTGCAAGCGAGAGCCCAGCCAGCCAAAGCAGCAGCAGTGCGGGTGAGTGCTTTTGAGTCAACTCAAAAGGGGACACACGAATGTGCAAGGCAAGATGGGTGGGTTACACTTGCAAGTGAGAGCCCAGGCAGCCAAAGCAGCAGCAGTGCGGGTGAGTACAAATCTGCACCCTGCCATGCATCTTTCAGCTGCCTTTAACTGCGGATCGTACTGCCTCACCCATCAACCATTACCCATCCGCCCATCTAGATGCTTTCTCCCTCCATCCATGTCCCCATTATCATCATCAGCAGCAGCGCACCTGTCGAGGTCATCACTGCCGTTCAGTCGGCTGTGCCACACCACCCAGCTGCCCACCGCCACGCCACACAGCCCCCCTGCCAGGAACTCCAGCCAGTGCCGCGCCTCGCCTCAACCATTACCGTCTAGCATGCCCCATCTACATCCCGTCTCCCCACCTATCCAAGTCGTCACTGCCATTGAGTCGGCTGTGTCGCACCACCCACGTGCCCACCGCCACGCCACACAGCCCGCCTGCCAGGTACTCCAGCCAGTGCCGCGCCGCGTGCCTCGGCCTATGACAGCGCGCCACCTGGACAGGGAACAGTGGGGCAGGAGAGAGGGGTGAGTGAGAGGGGGTCTGATGGAGGAGAGGCGGCAATGCAAGAAATCTTGGGCGTCACCCACTCCAGAAGCACCCACCCGAGCAACCACCCCATCAGTTCCACCCCATCAGTTCCCACCCCATCAGTTTCCACCCCATCAGTTTCCACCCCATCAGTTTCCACCCCAGCAGTTTCCACCCCATCAGTTCCACCCCATCAGTTTCCACCCCATCAGTTTCACCCCATCAGTTTCACCCCATCAGTTTCACCCATCAGTTTCACCCCATCAGTTTCATCCCATCAGTTTCACCCATCAGTTTCACCCCATCAGTTTCGCACCATCAGTTTCGCCCCATCAGTTTCACCCCATCAGTTTCACCCCATCAGTTTCACCCATCAGTTTCACCCCATCAGTTTCACCCCATCAGTTTCACCCATCAGTTTCACCCCATCAGTTTCACCCCATCAGTTTCGCCCCATCAGTGTCGGAGATACAGCTCTACCCTCATCATCTGCCTTAGTCCTCATGCTCTTCGTCCCTTAGCTCCTTCGGTTGCCTCAGCCACTCTCTTGAAAGTGACAGAACTCTCACCTCTAAGGTCCTCCCTGAGTGGTGTGCCACCTGCCTGCTCTGGTAAGGTGACAATAGTCCACTATACGAAAGGATAACAACCAGAAAGCATCAGAGGTGTGTGTGAGAGTGAACTTACCTGACCCTGGCTCGAACCGTGCATTTCTCAATGTGCGGCTCGAGCCTGGGTTGGTTCGTTCTCATTGGTTGCAAGGTTTTCACCCAAGGTGCTCTCCTACCAACTTCGCGCCAATTTCCCAGCTCCCACCTACCTATCCTCGAATTTGCAAACACAACATAGCTACACCTCCACTACACCACCATGATTCTGGCACCTTATATGCACAACCGTGCATATTCGGTGACAGCTGTCGGAGATACAGCTCTACCCTCATCATCTGCCTTAGTCCTCATGCTCTTCGTCCCTTAGCTCCTTCGGTTGCCTCAGCCACTCTCTGCCCCCTCCTGTGCCCGTGCTCGAGCGGCTTGAGCGCGGGCCACAGGACCAGTACGCTGAGGCCCGGTCCCTCTGATCACTGCAGTGTTCGTCTGATGTTCCCTCAGCTGCGCTCCGGTGTCGTTTTCCAAGACCAGCACCCCTGAGGGGCGTACCTCCTTGACCAACCCCACGTCAAGGGTGTCCTGCTTAGCCCTCTTCAGATAGACTTCCTGTCCTTCGCAGACATCCTTTGCCATTCTTCCCTCCCCTTTGTGTTGCCTCTGTTCGTATCTTCTTGCGTCCCTGAGCTGCGCGGTGTGCAGATTCTCCAACGCGGCTGGCATCATGTAGCGCATGTAGCGCGCCCTCACCTCGGACAGGGCTACCCAGTTCCTGATCGTGCCCGCTGTCACTGTATCTGTCAATACTCGTGGTGCTCCCACTGGCAGAATCGGCTCTCGTCCGAACAGCAGGCTATACGGGGAGTGATCCTTCAGCGCTGCCTGCTTCCCGAACCTGTACCCAGCCGCGATCCAGTCCAACTCCTCATCCCAATCCCTCTTCCTCTGCTCCCCGTAGGCCCGCAGCCCCCGCTTGAAGGTTTGCACGGCTCTCTCAGTCAGCCCATCGCTCTGCGGGTGATAGCGGGAGGTCTTTCGGTGCGTGATGCCAGTCTCCGCCAGCAGCTTCTTGAACTCCCCCTGGAACTCTGTTCCCTGGTCTGTGAGTACCTCCCCGCATGCTCCAAATCGGCACACTACTTGCGCTTTGAAGGCTGCTGCAATGTGCCTCGCGCTCTTGCTAGGGATCGCTCGCACCTCCAGCCACTTGCTCACATGCTCCACCATGAACACGATGTACTGATTCCCGCTTCGACTCAGTGGCAGCTCTCCCGCGAGGTCCAGGGACCAACGGAACCCTAGTCCGCAGATTGGCAGTGAGTGCAGCTCTGCTTTGGCCTGCGTCAGATTTGCTTTGCTCCTCTGACACGCCTCGCACCCCTCCACCCACTCTTTTACTTGCCTGCGCATCCCTTCCCACCACCAGCCCGTCTTCAGCAGGTGCACGGTCCTCTCGTGCCCGAAGTGCCCCAGCTTGGTGTGCACTTCCTTGATCACTGCTTCACGGTCCTCGGGCGCTGGCACCAGCTTCCACCCATCCTCCGTCTTAATCTGCAGCTGCTGCTGATACCACCTGTAGTGGTGCCCTCGTGCCCTTACTCTCTCAGGCACCGTTTCATCCTCCTCGGTTTCTCCCTTCACCCATTGCATTGCCTTTGCATCCAACCAGATGTCGGTTGGCCCCTTACTCCCCTTCGCCCCCGTGTGCTCCACCTCTCTTGCCAGTAAGATCAAGGTCCGTGCCGGCTCTTGCTCTGTCTCTTCCGTCCCCAGGGTGGCCTGTTTCATTTCCAGCGGCGGTGGATTGCGGGAGAGGCCGTCAACGTGCTGCAGCGTCTTCCCCGGCCTATGCCTGATCTTGAAATCATACTCCTGCAGCTTCACCGCCCACCACGCGTTCCTGCCTGTCAGCCCTGGTGTAGTCATCAGCCAGGTGAGTGGCTGATGGTCAGTGACTAAGGTGAATTCTCGGCCCTGCAGGTATATCCGGAAATGCCCGACCGCCCACACTGCCGCCAGCCCTTCCCCAATGTATGAGCTATATTGTGCTTCCGCCGGGTTGCAGCTCCTGCTGGCGTAGGCCACCACCTTCTCCACTCCCTCCACCTCCTGGCATAATATTGCCCCCATCCCTTCTCTGCTACAGTCTGTGTAGAGGATGAAGGGCTGGTCCGCTGCTGGCAGCCGCAGCACTGTCGCTGTCTTCACGGCTGTCATGAGGTCTTGCAGTGCCTGTCTCTGCTCCTCTCCCCACTCCCATGCCTTGTCCTCCCGCAACATCCCATTTAGTGCTGTCGCTCGTTTGCTGAAGTTCGGCACGAAGCGCCTGTAGTAGCTGAGGAAGCCCAAGACCGCACGCAGCCCTGACTTGTCTCTTGGTTCCCTCAGCCTGTCCGGCACTTGCACCTTCGCTTGCTGGATACCAATCTGCCCCCCTGTGACCTCATACCCAAGATACTGCACTGTCCGCTCCCCCCACCTGCACTTGTTGGGATGGCAGGTGAGCCCTGCCCCTTCTATGGCGGTCAAGGTCCTCTCCACGTCCTCCAGGTGCTGCTGTTCGGTCAAGCTGAAGATCACGACATCATCAATATAGCACGCCGCGTGTTCTATTCCCCGCAGCACCGCGTCCATGACTCTCTGAAACACCGCCGAGGCGTTCCTCAGACCGAAGGGCATGTAAAGCCACTCGTATAGCCCATCCGATCCGTGGAAAGCCGTTTTCTTCACATCCTCCTCTCTGATCTTGATTTGATTGAACCCCTGTCGCAGGTCCAGCGTCGTGAAGAACACCCCGTCAGCCAGCTTGTCAAAGAGCTCTTCCGCTATCGGCATTGGGTATCTATCTGGCACTGTAATTTTGTTGAGATCCCTGTAGTCCCCGCACATCCTCCTACTCAACACCTCGCCTGTCAAGTCCTTCCTGGCTGCCACCACGATTGGGGTAGCGTATTCTGACTCTGACCTCCTAATCAGTCCGGCTTCTAGTAACTCCTTTATCTTCTCCCTGCAGATCACTTCATCCCCTGATGGCATCTTCCTCCTGCGGTGGAACACCGGCTCGTCACTACTCAATTTCAGCGCCATCTATTTGATCTTGCACTTCCCCAACTCCAGCAGTGTGAAGGCGAAGCCCTTCCGATGCCTTGCCAGCAGTGCCCGCATCGCTGCCTTCCCTTCTTCGCTCATGCTCTCACCTATCTTCCACTCTGGCTCCTGTTTTTGCAGGCAGGCCCACACCCCGTGCCTCACCGTTGCCACTGTGTTTTCTCCCTCCTTCAGTCCCCAGTGCAGCACTGTCTCCTTCCACATCCGCTGCACCAACCACCTCATCATGTACCCATCCATGGCATTCCCCAATGCCCGTCTCCGTTCCTTCTCGCTCACGCCTGAGGCTGCTGTCGCGTTCTCCTTGTACCCCATGGCCAGCTCCCTCTCCAAGGCCGTGGGCTCTTCCCACTGTCCCTTCCTGTGGTCATGCACCAATCCTGGGCCGGGTTGCTTCCCATCCATCTGATAGCCTGCTGCCCCCTCATATGACACCAGGGTAGGCAGTGCCTGCCTTTCCTGTCCCACCTGGTTGCAGGGATAATGCCTGCTGTAGCCCTTCTTGGTCACTGGTGCTGGCGTTCTTCCTAGCTCCAATATGTCGCTCAGCTTCCGTCCCCCAGCTCTCTGCACCCCTTCTATTTCCTTCTGCAGGTCTTCTACTGGTACCACATTCTGCCAGTACATCCTGAGCCTGTGCGCATATGCTCCCATCCGCACCGCATCACTGCTCACTCCTTTCCCCACCTGTCTGGTCACTCTCTCCCTCACTAGTCTTATCGGTTCTCTCACGTCTCTCTCCATATCCAAGTGCTCCAGCAGGTAAGCCACTCTGCCTTGCCTCGCCTGCATCCACTCCATGACTCTGAACAGATCCTCCATCAGCTGTGTTCGTAGGTCTTGCTCACCCTTGCCCTTCCCTGCCCATGATACCCCTTGGCATTCCCACCCTGCCACCAACAGGTCCACGTGCCCCCAGCTTGCTACCTCAGCTTCCGTAATGGCCCTTACATCGTTCATTCCTCTGCTCATTGCTGCCTTGATCACCTCTCCCTGCAGCAGCTCCGAGAACTCTCTGTGCAACTCCCACGCCTGATGCTCTGCTATTTTCCTCACTTCTGGTGCTTTCTCCACGTAAATCCACTGCTTCACTGCAATTCCATTTCGCACCACTGCTGCCAGTCATGCCCCGATTCCTCCGAACAGCTCCACCAGCCGAATGGGTTGCTCCCAATTGGTCTGCTGGCTAGGTTCGTCCATGAAACGCATCCTGGGGTCCCCACCTTGTCCCTTGCCTGTTGCGGCCTTCTGTGCCCCCTGCTTCGCTGTCACCTCCTTCAGATCTGCCCTGTAGGCCCTTTTTGGCTCGACCCTGACAAACTGCACCGGCAGCTGCCCCAGTGGCTCACCCTTCCTCCACCACCTGGTTCTGAACTCCACTGTCTCCTTCCAGAAGCAGATGGTCATGCCCAATGCAAAGATCATCTCTGTGCCCACCAGGACGTCAAAATCTTCTGACTCTGAGATCCCGCACCTGATTCTAACCGGCGTCTCATGCTTCTCCCCCTTCAGCACCGTCAGTTCTATTGGAGTCCTCGTACAAGGCATCCACTTCGACTCTCCCCCCTCTGCTGTCATCACTAGCATCCCCTTCACCACATGCCTGTCAGGTGCCCACAGTCCCAGCTTCTCGGCCATCCCCTTTCCGAGTATCACGCTCTGCGCTCCAGTGTCTATAATAGCCGTCTTAGCCTTCTCCCCTTCCACTGACAGCGCACCACCTTGGATCAGCAGCACGGAAGTCTAACAAGCCAATCTCTCCTGGGGGTGCCGTGCTGTTGTGCATCTCTCCTCCTTCTCCTCCGGCTTCTGTCCTCTCTCCCGCTCCTTTCTCCGCTGCTCCTTCCGTGCATCCTTTCCTCCGCTGCGCAACCCCATTTCCTCTCTTCCTCGCCATGCCATGTATGCTGGTTGCTCCTCATGCTCCATCTCATTCTCTCCTCTTCCCGCCCAGACCATGAACGCGGCTTCCTCATCCTGCTCCACATCTTCTTCCTCCTCTTCCTTGGCGTACATCCCCGCCTCAGCTTCCCGTCGTGGTCCCATTGCCTGCAGCTGGGCCTGCAGCCTGCTGATTTGCTTCTCCAGCTCTTCTGGTGACTTCTTCGCTGCCCCCTCTCGCTGATAACACTCCTTTGCTGCATGCCCTCCTTTCCCACAGACTTCACACTTCGGTGCCGTTGGACATTCCCGCCGCCGATGCCCTGGCTTGCCACAGGAGTCACAGTTCTTGCAGTCTCGGCGCAAGTGTCCTGGCTACCCGCATCTGTGACATGTTCGTGTGTCAGGCCTAATCTCCCTTCTTCCCGCTGCCCTGTCCTTCTCCTCCGGTATCATGGCCGCAGCCCATGTAGGCCCCCTGCCGCGCTCCGCCTGTCTGGGCCTGTATGCTTCATATTTCCTCTGCGCCAGCTCCATCTTCTCTGCCAGTTCAAACACCTCTTCAAGCGTTGTGTCGGCCCCCATCTCATACACCTTCATTCGCAGTCCGCTTCCCAAAGTGCCCTCCAGCCCATCCAGGAATTTACTCACGAGCAGGGCCATGTCTGCGCAAGTCACATTCTCTGCCAGGTTGACCAGCCGGTTAAAGTAGGTGAGTAGTGACTTGCCCCGCCCCTTCCTGAAATCTTGGAATTCCCTGACCTTCTCTGCGGTGTGACCTGGAAACTGCCGTTTCAGCCGCCTCAGGAATGCTTCAGTAGGGTCTTCCCCGTACCTTCCTGCCCTTTCCAGTAGCTCATCCATCTTCATCCTGTACAATGTCTCCGCCTCCCCTTCCAATGTGTTTGGCAGACTCAGGAAAAAGTCCACCGAGTCCATGCCGCTCCTTTCGCATCTGTACCGCACGTTGCCCACCTGCATCAGGAAGTTCTTCAGCGTGGGGCCCGTGCGCTGATCTCCTGAGAAGCGTGCTGGCACTTCCACTCTCGTGGCCATCACCGTGCTTCCCTTGCCTTCTCCCCACGCCTCGCTCGGCCCTCCTGCTGATCTCCCTGACGCTCCTCTCTCTCTCGCCCGAAGTATCCCTTCCCTCGCCTCTCTAGCCCGTTCTAGGCTGTGCATCAGCCCGCTGCCTTCCTCTCTGCTGTTGCGTTGATCCCGTCCTCCCTCACTGGTACGTCTTCCGTCATGCTGCCAGTACCGATCGGGTGAGTGATACCCTCCGCCGCGCCCCTCATCCCTGCTCTGTTGCCGAAGCTGCGAGCCGTATCCGCCTCCCCGGCTTTCTTCATGTTGCCTGTGCCAGTCGGGCGAGCGCGTCTCGCTTCCCCACCTCTCTCCATGATACCGTTGCAGATCAGGCGAGCGGTAGTCGCCTCCGCGTCTCTCATCACGAGGGTAACGAGGACCTGGAGAGCGCAGCTCCCCCCCGCTTCTCCAGTTGTGATACCTCCGCGGATCTGGTGAGCGCACGCTTCCCCCGCGTCCACTGTCCTGGTGTCGCAGTAGCTCTGGCGAGCGGTAGCCGCCTCTGCGCATTTCTTCCTGCAGCTGCTGCCGTCCTGGCGAGCGGTAGCCGCTTCCGTGCCTCCCATCCTCGTGCGGGAGACGCGGGTCTGGCGAGCGCGTGCCGCCACCCGCGTTCCCCGTCACGATTCTGCCGCCGATCTGGCGAGCGCGTACCGCCGCCACGCCCCCCTTCCCGATACATCCGTGGATCCGGCGAGCGCGTGCCTCCGTCGCGTCCCCCATCACGATTCAGCCGAGGCTCTGGCGAGCGCGCACCGCCGCCGCGTCCTCCGTCCCGATTCAGGCGCGGATCAGGCGAACGCGCGCCGTCGCCACGTCCCTCGTCACGCTGCTGACGCGGATCTGGAGAGCGCGCGCCGCCGCCACGCCCCCCTTCCCGATACATCCGTGGATCTGGCGAGCGCGTGCCTCCGTCGCGTCCCCCATCACGATTCAGCCGAGGCTCTGGCGAGCGCGCACCGCCGCCGCGTCCTCCATCGCGATTCAGGCGCGGATCAGGCGAACGTGCGCCGTCGCCACGTCCCTCGTCACGCTGCTGACGGGGATCTGGAGAGCGCGCGCCACTGCCACGCCCCCCGCCGTCACCTTTCTCTCCGTCGCGCGGCAGGTCTCGGGTATACCGCCCTTTTCTTCCGCCTCCGCCGTGCTCGGCTCCGCCGCCACGCCCGCCTGCGCGGGATCGTCGTCATCAACTCCAGCGGGCATCTCGCGCTGCTCGCCTGCGCCTTCCTCCTGGGGTTCGTCATCGCCCTTGGTCTCGCCTTCACGATTCGTCTCCCGCACTCGATTCGCCGAGTCGGCCTCGTCTTCTCCATCCACATCAAGATCGCCTTGGCGACCCGAGAAGAGCCCCTCCAGACCTCGCCCGCGACTTCTCTCTTCGCGACGGCGATAGCCTTCCTCCGGCGAGCGGTATGCTCCCGTGTCCTGGCGGTACCCACGACCGCCATCCGCTCCGTGACGCCCGTCCGTCCGCCACGGGTCACTCCCCGTCGTGACGGATCCAGATCCGCCTCTTCCTTCTCGGGCGGAACCTCCCTCCTGGCGATCTGGCGCGAGAGGGACCTGATCCGCGCGAAAGGTCGGCCTCCGCGGCGATCGCTCAGGCCGCCGCGGCGACCTCTCCAGCGAGCGCCCGCGCTCACGTGAGCGTTCGCGCCGCGAGCGATCCGCCTCACGGCGACCATAATTCCTGCCGTAACGCATCTCGTACACATCCATGCTTGTACGCGCACCTTTCTGGTTGTTATGAAAGTGACAGAACTCTCACCTCTAAGGTCCTCCCTGAGTGGTGTGCCACCTGCCTGCTCTGGTAAGGTGACAATAGTCCACTATACGAAAGGATAACAACCAGAAAGCATCAGAGGTGTGTGTGAGAGTGAACTTACCTGACCCTGGCTCGAACCGTGCATTTCTCAATGTGCGGCTCGAGCCTGGGTTGGTTCGTTCTCATTGGTTGCAAGGTTTTCACCCAAGGTGCTCTCCTACCAACTTCGCGTCAATTTCCCAGCTCCCACCTACCTATCCTCGAATTTGCAAACACAACATAGCTACACCTCCACTACACCACCATGATTCTGGCACCTTATATGCACAACCGTGCATATTCGGTGACATCAGTTTCACCCCATCAGTTTCACACCCCATCAGTTTCACCCCATCAGTTCCCACCCCATCAGTTTCGCCCCATCAGTTTCACCCCATCAGTTTCACACCCCATCAGTTTCACCCCATCAGTTTCACACCCCATCAGTTTCACCCCACCCATCAGTTTCACCCCATCAGTTTCCCCCATCAGTTTCACCCATCAGTTTCACCCCATCAGTTTCAGCCCATCAGTTTCATCCCATCAGTTTTACCCCATCAGTTTCACCCCATCAGTTTTACCCTATGAGTTTCACCCCATCAGATTCGCCCCATCAGTTTCGCCCCATCAGTTTCACCGCATCAGTTTCACCCCATCAGTTTCACCCCATCAGTTTCACCCCATCAGTTTTACCCTATCAGTTTCACCCCATCAGATTCGCCCCATCAGTTTCGCCCCATCAGTTTCCACCCCATCAGTTTCACCCCATCAGTTTCACCCCATCAGTTTCACCCCATCAGTTTCATCCCATCAGTTTCCCCCCAACAGTTTCCCCCCATCAATTCCCACCCCAGCCGTCACCTACCACGCCAGAGACCAGTTTCTCCTGCCCAACTACCCCACCCAACCTTCACACCCTCATTAAGCTGCTTCGCCTGCCCACCCATGCCAGCAGCCACTTGACCCAACCGCCACCTACCCCAGCTGTCACCCACCCCAGCTGTCGCCCACCCCAGCTGTCACCCACCCCAGCAGCCACCCACCCCAGCCGGCACCTACCGCAGCAGAGACCAGTTTCTGCAGACCCTTCACATCCTCGTTGAGCTGCTTTGCCTGCCCACACACAACGGCTGGGGAAACCACTGCAGCAGCGGGCACTGCTCCTTGTGTTGAAACACCTAGCCCGCTGCCATCTTCTGCTACCCCAGCACCGCCCAACTCCCCACCTGCCTCGTTACTGACTGCTTCACTACAAGCACCACCACTCTCCACCGTCCCCTCTGGCCCCCCTGCTCCTGAGGTGGGCTTCTCCCCGTAGATCCCTGAGGCCTGTGTGACTGCCACGTGGCAGGCTTGTAGGATTGAGGAGAGCAGAGCGAGCGGGTCGGGAGGAGATGTGCTCATGATGCTGCTGCTGCTGGTGGCGGTGGTGGTGGTGAGGGCAGAGAGGGCGAGGGAGGATGGGGCAGGGATTACAGCTGACGATAGGTAGACCTGTGGCAGGGGGGAGGTGAGGAGAGAAGGAGACGGAGTGGGGAGATGAGGCATGCGCTACCCATGCCCACAACAACCTGCTCCCCACAAACCACAGCACATTCTATCCCCTCATTGAATCACCCCTTCCCAGCCATTTTTGCACCACACTGTAACCACGCGAACCATATCCCCACCCCACGCCTCCTTCCTCTTTTCTCCCCTGCTCACCCCCTTCCCCCACTCCCCAACCCCGCTTCTCCCTTACCTGCCCAGCAGCGGCGCTCAGAGCCAGTTGCACCTCCCCCAGCACCACCACTTTCTCTGCCACCATCTCCCGAACCAAGCCCTGCAGGCTCGGCGCTGCCAGGCCTAGCAGCAGCCCCTCTGCTGACGCAACGCTTGGCAAAAACGACCTCAGGCGGTGTAGATGGACAAAGAAGAAGGGTTTAAGGTTGAGGGTTTTCAAGTCGAGGTTTAAGGTTTTGGAACCGAATGTGCTTAGATCTGAGATGAGATTTTGCAGGGGTTTAGGGGGGTGAGGAAGGGCGGAGAGGGGGAGGAGGGGGACGGTTTGTAAGGAGAGCCAGAGGGAAGAGAGGAAGCGATAGAGAGGCGCTAAGAGAGAGACGAGGTGGGTTATAAGAGGGGAGATTGGCTGCTTGACACGTGTCAGAACGCGATTTGCAGAAAGTGAGTGGGAGGGTTGGGGAGAGCTGGGCTGGACGAGGTTAGAGGAAGGAGAGGCGGGAGGAGGACGGGAGGAGGAGGAAGGGGGAAGGGTGGGAGACGGGAGGAGAGGGAGGAGGTAGCGGTTGGCGGCGGAGAGAGCGAGTGAGAGAGAGAGCGAGAGGGACGTGTGGAGGAAGGCGAGCGGGCCGCGTCGGAAGAGCACGATCCAGAGCTGCTGCGAGGGCGACGCGAGGGCGAGGCGGCGCCAGAAGGAGAGGTGCTTGTCGACGGAGCGCATCATGAGAACTAGCCGTTGACCCGCCTGGTTCACCGCCGCCACTGCCGCATCCACTGCTGCCTCGCTCCCCTCTTGAGACAAATCGCTCCCCTCTTGAAGAGCCTCGCACCCTTCGCCTGTGTTGTCCCCCTCTGCTCCCCCTGCTCCCTCTGTTCCCTCTGTTCCCGCTGCCCTCTCTGTCCTTCCTGTCGCTCCTGCCGCTACCTCTGCTCCCACTCCCCCTCCCGCTCCTCCCTCTCCGCCATTGTGTGATAGCTCCTCCCTTTCATGCTGCTGCTGCTGCTCCTCCTCCTCTTCTTGCTTCTGGAGCGCAATTGCGTACGCATTTCGCCGCGCCTGCCACGTCCGCAGTCTCTGCTGCTGCTGCCACGTCAGCAGCTGCTGGTGAGCAGCCGGCGATATAACCGGGATAGTGACTTTTCGCGCTCCGCCGGACGGATTCAATAGCACGCGGAGCCCCAGCGCGACAGGCGCAAACGCGGCAGCACCGGCGGCTAGCGACCAGACACGTGGATCCGAGAAGATATCCCCGATATAGTCACTGTGAAAATAGCTACTCGATATAGGCGTCGAACTATTGGCACTGAATTCGCTCGATCCAGGCGCAGAGGAAGGCATTGCGACGATACGCGTTCCCCGCCACGAGTTTTATTCAACGAAAGACTAGGGTGACTTCATACCCGTCAAAGACGCGTTCGATTCAACGAAAGCTGATGGAGTCAACCCGTCGACCATGACTCTCATAAGACACTAGCAGCAGGACTAGACAACAGCAGATGGTTGTTATGCCCTCGTGACGCAAAGTGATCAGAGGGAGAATCTGCGAGGTCCGGATTTAGAAAGTCTCGATGTTAGCATGGGCGGTGGTGCTACATACTGCACAAGAGCAACGATTATCATTAATCGTTTACATATCATTATTAGTATTACACAATACAGAATCAATACAGATACATGCACTTGCACCTTGGAGTCCATATTCATTTATTGGCGGCACAAAATAATAATATAAAACAGCACCGTAATAGAGGTGCCAATCAGGTGACTGGTGCCGGAGCAATCGAAATGAGCTTGGACAGGCGAAGCCTAGTGCAGGGGACTCTAGCCGGAGTGAGCTGCGCAGGAGCAAGCTTCACAAACTTGCCCGCAGAAGGCTTTCGACCAGCCCGCTTTCTCCCGTTGACAGGCGGGTTAAAATTCACATCGGGCAGACACTGGACAACAGGCCACTCCCCCCCCAAAGGAAATGCATTCACGCCTTGATAGTGTGGAAGCTGGTGGTTGTAAATGGTGGAGTGCGGTGCCAAGGCATGAACGCCTTTGGCGCAGGTACTCCCTGGTACCACAGCATGGCTATCCAGGGATGGAGAAGCAGGTGCGCTGTTGTAACTGCAGGCGACCATGCCACTTGCATGAGCACTCACGAATTGCTGTGCCAGGCGCCGTGTCTTACGAATCCGAGCAGCAATCTCCGATGCTGCAAGGTGCGGCGGCAGCGCGCTCGGGCTCACAGAGGCGCCAGGGAGAGTCAAGGAGGGGATGAGCGGGTGGCTGTCCAGCGAGTGGGCCTTCACAGCTGCTGACACCGGCCCCAACACCACCAGATCGCTTGCTGCACTGTGGGAGCGTGCGAGAGGCAAGTCACCTGTGCTTGTGCTAGGAAGCATGGGCTTTGCCAGCAGCCGCCGCTGCTTGGGCTGAGAGGCTCGCCGAGGAGTCATGTCGGCCGTTCCTGCTGCTGCTGCTGCTGTTGCTGCTGCTCTCTCATCTCCACCAACCACTGCTCGTGCTGCTAGTGCTGCTGGCGATACTGCTGGAGAGAGGAATGCTGCTGAGGGCGAAGGCTGTTTGAAGACACGGGCCCTCCCCCACTGCTGTTTTTGCCTCGGCATGCCAGCTTCAAGCAGCGCCAGCTGCTGCTGCTGCTGAGCCTGAGGATTCGTCCTGTGCTGCTGCTGCTGCTGCACATCCTCCTGGCGTTCTGCTGGAGCAAAGCACGTGGACCCCTTGCCTCCGCTGCCCGCTCCCCAGGAAGAGCAGCGGGAGAGAGGAGACCCGGGGGACAGGGACTGACGAGAAAGAGACGGCCTGCGAGGAGGCAGGAAGCGGGGCGCGCAGGCTTCAGCGACTGGCGAGTGCGGTTCCTTTTGCTCCTTCTTCTGCTGACGCATCTGGTCCAGGCACAGGCGAGCCAAGTGCTGCTGGGGTAGGGACTGCTGGGTCAGGGACTGCTGGGTCAGGGACTGCTGAGATAGGTGGTTCGGTGGTGGGTTTAGCTGGGATGGGTTTTGCTGGGGCAGCTGCTGCAGGGGCAGGTGCTGCTGGGGCAGGTGCTGCTGGGGCAGGTGCTGCTGGGCCATGTATTGCTGGTGCAGATACTGCTGGTGCAAGTGCTGCTGGATGGGAAACTCCTCGGCACTGTCAGGGCCCGCGTCAGGCGTGTGGGTACCGTCGATCTGCCAGGCCATCGAGTGGTGCTGCAGGTGATACTGCAGGGACGAATCCAGCGCAGTCTGGGGGCTTGCCTCGGGAGTGTGGGCAACGCAGCGCAGGTCAAGGGACGCAAGGCTGGGAGGGCTGATGCGACTGGGCCGGGGGGAGCAGCACGGAGAGGGGCAGGAGGTGGGTACGGTAGGAGACGAGATGCCCCGCCCGCCTTCATGATGCCCTAGAGAGAGGTGATGCATATACAGGCCATGCGCGTGCGCATGCTCATCCTGCTGCTGACGATAGAGGCTCTCCCGATGCTGATACAGGCCATCGGGCGGCACCAATAGCGGCGATCGCGGCCGCTTACCATTGGTCCTCGCAAACTGCATGGGGCTCACAGCAGGATCATCAGGTGCTGGCGGCGAATACTCTGCAACCATTGGTTCTGCCGGCACTGACTCTGCCGGCGCTGGCTCCGTCGTTGCAAGCCGTTGGGGCAGCAGGGCGGCATCCAGCAGGAGCGAGGAGTGGGGAAGGTTGGAGCCTCTGGATGGTGCACTCCGCCTCAACGCTGCTGCTTCCTCTGGCAGCCTCAGCGTGCTCGCCGCATCACTGCTGCTACCTCTGCGCGCCAAGGCACCTTCGGCCACTGGTTGTTGTGCAGGCAGCAGTTGTGGCAGCAGAGCGTCCGCAAGCACGGAATCCAACAGGAGAGAGTCGTCCAGGGTGGAACCCTTGGAAGGGCTCCGACTCAAGGCTTCCAGCACGCACGCATCGCTAGTAGCAGCAGTAGTATCACTCGCAAAGGCACTTTGAAGCAAGGCCTCTGTGCATGTGGACGCAGCAAGCGTTTGTGCGGGCGTGTCAGCCGCGTGTGGGCTTGGGTTTAGAAGGCCCGGGCCGAGAAGGCAGGCCTGCAGCTCGCAGATCTTATCCTGTAGCGCGCTGATCTCCGCCTCTATGTTGTCATTGTCGTCTGCAAACGCATGCAGTGCTGCTGCTCCTATTGCTGCTGCACTCGTTGTAACTGCCATCGCTGCTGCTGAATCCGCTGCTGCTGCACATTCGGACTCTGCTGATACAGAGTGCACACCCCAGAGAAGCGAGGGAGACGTGGAAGCTGCTGAAGCGGGGTAAGGAATCAGTTCAACCTGAACGCCACTCGGAGTCTGTCCAGCCTGAAGGCCATGTGAGAGACGCAATTCGCATACTAGCGGAGGCACGTCTGTGTCATGAATATCAACGCCGGCCATCTGATTCAGAAGAACGTCCGGTCGAACAGCCATAGCTGCTGCTGTGCCCGTTCCTCCCAATAGCCTCCTCCCTCCTCTGTCTTTATTCTCCTTAGTCTTCTCAGTCCTGAATACCGTCAGCTCTGGCCCCTCGCGCTCAGCACGGTGCTGGTGAGGGAGCTGGTATTCCAAGAGAGTAAGGACCTGAATTCAAGTTGAATTCGTGCTGGAACAATGCTATGAGGAACAGAAGACACAAAAGAACTCCTGCTATGAGGAACAGAAGGGAACAGCAGGACGGGTGGAGGGCGCTCCGGCTGACCGAAAAGCCTGTGAGTGTGTGGGTGACTAGGCTGAAACTTGAAAGTTCTTGTGATGTGACGTCAATTCTTGAACGGAAAAACCTCACGAATTCACAATTTGAGGGAAGCGGACTCAGCGTGGCTGATATTCATGCATCCTGTACAAGAATTGAGACTCCCAATTCCGATAAAAAAACTCGAGGAAACCCTCAAAGGTCGGGGAATGTCGGAAGCAGCGATTTGAGACAGCAACAGGTGAGTAAGATGGGCGAGAATGATCAGCAGATGTGAAGCTCTGTGGCAGGAGCTAGGGCACGACAAGACGCTTCTGCGTCTCCATCCATTGCTTCTGGATTGCACAAAACAATTCCAAGATGCCTCCAAAACAATCCTTTGTAGCTCTGGTACTGTGTGCAGTGCACTGTTGCGAAAGATTCTTACCATCCCGTGGACGCGGGGAACGGGAAGCAGAAGGATCGGATGCTTTGCCGGAGCATCAACGGCGATCAGCCGCTTCAATGTAGACTTCCTCTCGCCAGACTGGACCATTTCGCTGAATTCTCTGTGACGCTGTCCACACAGCAAATGGCGGCTTGATGCCTTTTTGCACCCTCAACCATGCGTTACCGCGGCTTGATCAATCCTGACCTAATTGCAACATTCGAACCTCGCCAGGTTTTCTGCCCCTCCTCTCGAGGCTCGATGCGTCCAAGCCTTGGGTCAAAGACTCAAAGGTGATCTCACCGATGATATCACACTTTACCTCAAGTGCGTCAGAATGGATGAACGGCGAGGATGGACGGAAAGGAATCATCTGAAATCAAGTTGCCTGCTGGTGGGAGGACCCTGAGAAGGTCAAACAACAATGCCGTCCAGGCTGGAAAGGACAGGTGGACGAGAGACGAAGGCGTGGATCCCCGATAAAGCCAGGGTGACAGCCTGACAGGGGAATGCGGTACGTAGGATCTGCCACGAGGCGCGCTGTGATTGGAAAAAACGCTGCTTGATTCTTATGAACTAGACTAAGTTGATGCTGTGATGCCACCATATTCGATGCACCAGCGGCAAGATTCCTCTGAATTCGCCTTGACCTCATAAGAGCCGATCGGCTACAACGCAATGCAGAAGGGCTGTTGAGAGGATGGAAGTCACAAAGGTGGTTCATCCATGTAAAGAACTACTTTGAACCTAAACTATAACTAAATTTGCACCCCACCATTGATTGCAAATTAAAAAATGCGTCCCGCTATACAATGAAAATGAATAAACTCGAGTATTTTGATATGCATTTAAATCAGCCATAATTAGAGTATTTTGAACTAATGCATTATATTGTGTGATGGGATCTGTATCTGCGCATAAATATAAAAGTTTTCTCCTGATTTAATATTAACGATTTTGGAAAATACGAATATTTGCATGCGTACATTCTGAAGCATCTGGGCATAAACACCTCAATATCACGTGTGCACATATCCAGTGTTTTTAGGATGACAATGTTTTGTACTCCTTCGTTCACTGCTTTTTCATTCTCGTTTCAGGCTCCACTACATTGCGCCTCGATTTTGCCGCCAATTTTCGTCCCAGGGTGTCAGAGGTGCCGTTCCTGGCACCAAGCCCAGTAGACAATTCTCTCGGCTGCTCAACAAGCACAACTTCCTTCCCAGCCGTCACAGGTCGTCCTCTTTCCAGACTCTCAGAGCTTCCCATTGTCGCCCTAGTTTCCAGTTGTCCAGCCAGACTCTTCAGCTCCTCTTCAACTGATAGAGATTAATCCGCCTGGAGTGACGATAGCACGCGGATTTTCCTGTAGGAATGCTTCCTTCCGCCTTATCTAGGCCATTCGACTCTTCTATTACGATCCACCTTACATTCTAGGTCTCGTCGCGACTCGTCTATTCTGGTTCGAGCGTGATGCCTTGATACGGATACAGAATGCGGTTGAACGGAAGATAAGTTAGCAATCATCGTAGGATAAGCGGAATGTATTAGCGACATAGTGTGCGGTTCTAAGATGGAAGATGGACCATCGACCTGATTATGCAGAAGAAGTAAGATAGACTAGCGACCTTGATAAGCAGTTTTAGGTTGCAACGTTTATAGTGGTGCCTTTAACCTCCTGACGAAATTGCGATTTTAAGAAGTCTGGTCACTTGCTGGACCTTTCCTTCGGCGTCGTGCTAACACGCTGCTCACTACCGGCTGTGCACGCGATCTTTCATCCAGCGGTTTCGTTTCGCCGATGTTGCCTCTCGTCGGCGTTCTCTGGCGTTTGCAGAGCTTGTCTGTCCTTCGCTAGATGTCGCTGGAGTTTGCCAGAGTTCGTTGCCGCCGCTCACCTTGTTTCTCTGCCCTTCGCCAAGTTTCGCTGCCGTTCGCCAAGTTTCGCTGCCGTTCGCCAAGTTATCACATGGCGTTCGCCAAGTTTCTCTCCCATTTGCTGAATTCTGCTGGTACTTGCCGACTTTCGGTGCCGTTCACCAAGAATCCTTGTCTTTTGCACACCTGTTGCCGTTCGGGAAGTATCTGCCTTTCACAACGCTGCTGCCGTTCGCCGAGTATTGCTGCCTTTCGCACAGCTGCTTCCGTTCACCACGTATCGCTGCCGTTCGCGAGTGTCGCTGCCGTTCGTAGCAGCGGGTGTCAGCTGCGGGTTGATGCTGAGTGGTATTGGTTGGAGCGGTGGTGTTTGACTGCGCGCGGAATCGAAGCGCGCTGACGACAGCAGAGCGGATTCGAAGCCAGCCGACGACAGCAGAGCAGATTCGATCTACATTGACGGCAATTGGGCGATTTCGAACGGCAGCGATGCGTCATGCGAAGGTGCGTGTGCGCGCAGGGCAAGAGGGGTGGGCGCGTAGGACGTAGGTGTCCGCCGCTTAGGTGTCTTGAGTCGTCAGCTTATCCTGCTTCCCGTCGTCCTTGTCTCCGTGCTGTTCTGACGCAACTTTGCGCTCTCCTGGTGTCTCTGCTCGTGTGCTCTGTGTGTTTGTGTGGAGGTAGGGAGGGGGGATGGAGCACGGCAGGCAGTCGCAGCGCCAGCAGGAGCATGAGCAGGCAAATCAGCGGCGCGGGAGACAGACATCATTGCGGAGCGTAAGGGTGCGTACGTACGGGGAGCAAGTGGGGGGGCGCAAAAACAGTCTAGGTCGCCGCGCGGCAAGTCTTAGAATCAATTCTAGTTTTTCTTCGAGTCCGTTTCCTTTTCGGATTTTGATACACTCTCTTGTGTGCGTGTTCCTGTGCTGTGTTGGCTGCTGTGGTTGGAGGCCTCCTTGACTGAGAGGCCCACGGACGAGTCATCGGTCCTGCCAAGGCGAGGGGCTCTGCCAGTAACCATGCGACTGCTGACGCGTCTCGAAATCTGCTTATTTATGGCAGCACGGTGAGTAAATTGGCCGAGTCTATTAGGGGGGAACATAGCAGTCTAGGTCGCCGAGCGGCATGTCTTCTAATTTTTATTTTTTCCGAGTCCGTCTCCACTTCTGCTTCTCACGCACACTCTCCTCTGTGTTCTCTGCTGTGTTCTCTGCTGCGCCTTCGTGATTGAGAGGCATTGACATGCCCACAGGCTTGCCTATGTGCGGTGCGTCCCAGGGAGGTGCTCTGCGGAGTAGGGATCCGCCTTCCGAGTGTCACTACTTTTCGCACAACTGCTGCCGTTGGTGGATTATCGCTGACTTCCGCACAGCTCGGGCCGTTCGCCGACGAGTTTCTTTACCGTTCATTACGTTTCACTGGTTTCGCTGCCGTTCGCGAGGTGCGAGAAATGACTGCCAAGGATACAGCACGGCGAAACGCAGAGCGCCACGTGCAAGGAATCGACGGTGGCTAGAGCAGAGGGGTGAGCGGTCGACCTGAGTGCAGCAGCGTATGAGAGAGCGGCGACGTGGTTTCGGCCCGCTGGGTGGTATCGGCAGCAGCAGTGCAGTTGTGTTTGACTGCAGGCGGATTCGAAGCACGCTGACGTCAGCAGAGCTGATCCGAAGCACGCTGACGTCAGCAGAGCGGATCCGAAGCACGCTGACGTCAGCAGAGCGGATCCGAAGCACGCTGACGTCAGCAGAGCAGATTCGAAGCACGCTGACGTCAGCAAAGCGGATTCGAAGCACGCTGACGACGCCAGAGTGGCAAGCGAAGGTGCGTGTGCGCGCAGGGCAAGAGCGGTGGGCGCGTAGGACGTAGGAGTCCGCCGCGTAGGTGTCTTGAGTCGTCGTCAGACGCTCCTGCTTCCCGTCGTCCTTGTTTCCGTGCTGCTCTGACGCATCTTTGCACTCTCCTGCCGTCTCTGCTCGTGTGCGCTCTGTGTGTGTGGAGGGAGGGAGGAGGGATGGAGCACAGGAGGTGCAGTCGCAGCACCTTATCGGAGCATAAGCAGCAGGAGCGGGCGAATCAGCAGCGCAAGGGACCGACATCATAACGGCATGCAAAGGTGCGTACGTATGGAGGACAAGCGGGGGGACGCCAAAAAACAGTCTTAGTCACCGCGCGGCAAGTCGT